ATGGTTTTTAGTAAAGTTATCATCAAAAAATCTCTACACGATATATTTTCTATATTCATCGCGTGAGGATTGCGTATTTGTCACGCTGTAATGTCAGATGGTGCCAAAAATGAAATTTGTTTTTTTGTAGTTTTGGAATGAAAAATAGTTCACGAAAATCATATATTCACCAAAATGTGTGTGTATTTCAAATGTCTGCCTGCAATAGTGTGTGTTTCTTTCCTTTTTTCGACATTTCTTGCTGTTAACAATACAGTGAATTCTTTTAAGTTTTACCTATGCGCATTCTCTCAAAGATAACCATTTTACGCATTTGAATCTTCAGTGTCTGAAAAATGTTTCTTTGATTATACATAGTGGATAAACGCTCATTTTTTATGTTTCTTTTAAAAAAGAACAGACAGACTAGAATCGTTCAAGCTTCATGTGCAGGTAATAACCAAAAAGGGAACATGTTGCGAAGGTGAGCCGAAAAAAGGAATAAAAAAATGCATCCAACAAAACACAGCGAGCACATAACACACTGCTTAACATGTGAAGAAAGAAGAAGAGCTCTCATTCACCAAAAAAAAAAAAAAAACTAAAGCATGGTCAGAGAGAGATCGAATGGTGAAATGGAACCGAACAGAAGAGAAAAAACACCAACTATTCCGTCTGGCATTTTATTTCATTACATACAATTAAGTATGTTCTCAGGTAGATGTTTTAATAACAAAATCAGTTTTCTCTCCTGTGGTAGAATTCTGAAGTTTGCAAACTTTAGGCTTATTGTATGCGCAAGAGATGAAAAATAACTACTATATGTGAGTTTCTTTAACCTCTCTCAATTCTCTACTGTTTTACTCTCTTCCTCGCTCTCTATGTATCTCTTTCACTGTGTCGTTTTTTTTTTTGTCTTACACTCACCAACTCAATCGTGCCCTTTCGGTGTTACTTTATTTCTTAAATCCTGTTTGTCTTTGCATGCAAGGTAATTAAATAGTTCTATTGTTGTGTTTGTTTGCACCGCTTTATAATTCTACAATATATTAAATTTAATTTTTATCATCATCAGAAAATCTCATCAAGAATACAAACGAATCATGAATAATCGATATATTTAATCCGAACCACGATCCACATACCAAAATTTATCTGTGTTGATATATTTTGTTTTCTTCATTCAGCAGTCCAGATAAAAAAAATGCGGTTCTGATAAATGTCGTCGCGTCTCTATCAAAATTTCCGCGAATAAAATGCCTTATACCAATGCTGTATCAAATATTTCGATCTCGTTCAATTTTATTCACAAAAAGTATACACTTTATTAATAATATATTCTTAAGTATACATTTTTTGATGGAGTGGGGTTCATTAAAGCATAAGTTAAATATGGAAGGAGTTCGAATTTACTGTGAATTTTATTTTTCATTTGGATTTGTTTGTGCACCAGCATATATATTGCTGTTGTATGGGAAATAAGCTCTTCAAAACGACTATTACTAGTCGTCCATACCAGTTTATACATATGGGAAAAGAGTGCATTTTCCTCTATGGTTTGCAACAAAATAAGAGGTATTTTGTTCACCGCAACGATTCTTCTGCCTTCAGCATTCGAGCCACTGAAGTGCAGCAGGCTTGATTGTTTGTTATTTTATTATAGTAGCGTACGCGTTCGTACATGTGTTGAATTTGTTAAATGTGCAATGTGCAATGTGCATGCTGTGTGGTTGGTAAACGTCAAATATAAACTAAAGCTGCAACAAACACACTCATTGCCAATGAACTGAGAGTCGACTGCAAAAGTGTGCGTTTCGTGCGTGTGTATGTGAGGGAAAGCGTATGTGCATACATCACAACAACATCACTGAAATTGTTGCTGCACATTTAATACTACCTTATGACACATTTGCTGTTTCAATACATTATGTGCAGCTGTTTATCTTACAGAGTATTTCGATAAATACAATATGTATGAAATTCTTTTTTTTCCTCTTTTTGGTTACACTATCCATATCTATTTTCTATATTTAAATGTTGTTTTTTCTTGTTTGCGATTGAGTTAACTCTCGTTTACATTTTTGGTTATAAAGGGCAATAGACAATTTTTGAACACTATATCTTTTACATACAAATTTCATTTGCTCAATGTTTTCCACGTTTGGATGCTACTGTCTATCATGTGTTTTTCAAAAATCATTACGAGTTTTTGAAGTTCCAACCAAGCATTTTTGGTCGATGGCTGAAAATTACAACCAAGAATTTTTCCCACTACGAATTTAACACATAATTCGGTGTATTTCGGTTTTTGTGATCAATGAAAAATGCACAAATTTATTTTGATAAGCATATGCTCATGTAATTTTTGGTAGTTTATTCAACGATTTTGGATGTTGTGCCATCAACATTTGGAAACAATATATGTTACCTGGGACATTTTCCTGTACATTATTTGTGCATCTAAGTTATAGCCTGACTAATATATTGAATAGAATCCCTTCAAAATACCTTCGGTTCGTCACTATTCAGTGTATCCCATTGTAAATGTGTTAATGCATTTTGTACTCGGGTTTTTTTCTTCTCTCGTTATTTTGTGGGCGCAACACGCTCGTTCTTCATTTCCATCATTATTATCATCATCTTCTTTTTCTCTTTTTTTTATTGGTGTTTTTTTTTTGTTCAAGTGTCGAGGAAAATATGTTGAAAACACATTTGAACCGGGAATGAAGTTAATTCAAAGAGCATGAAAATTGATATTTATTCAAAACACAAAATCCTTCAAAATGCTCGATTATTTTCTTCTTGTTCTCGTTCGAATGATGCTTTCTACCGAATAAAAATGACATATTGATTATTCCATCAAAATGAAGGAAAAGCGAAATAACAATGGCCATTGAAAATGTTAACCAAGACAAGAGCATTCCAGTTCAAGCATTTGTGCCACAAAAGATGTCTGTGTTTCAGATTGAAATCTAAATCGATGATTAATCGTCTATGTCTACTAACATCACGGCAGATGAGAACCGTCTACGCATTTTATTCGATTCCATGAGCGTGTTCAGGTTTTTTTTTTGTTTCATTATCGATTTCAATTTCTCTGTAGGAATAATAATAATAATAGAAAATCAACTAGAACATTATGCCACACGTTTAAATAGGCAAATGTATAGTTCTAGCACTTGAATGTAACGGTTTCGAGTCTATTTGTATATCAATGGTAGTTTTCATCGATGCTAACATGCACAAAATGCAAAGAAACTTCACCAATCATCATCGCAAACTAATTGCTCTTCTTAATGATGCTTCATTCATTTTCTAATTAAACACACTACCATGGTATTTGAAACGTTTATGTGTCTATTGATGTGAAAATACATTGGCTTTTTTTGGATACGCCATTTTTTTTGACCCCCGACAAAATTCCTTATATTCGGATTTCGAAAGATGTCGAACTGGGTGCGAACATGGTAAAAACAACAGCAGATTATATGTGTAGACTCATGACTCAATAGTTTTTGCCAGAAATAAAAAAAAAACCGAAAATAAAACGATAAATGCGTAAATAATAGGGTATTTTCCATTGGTAAAAATATTTTCCTTAATAAAATGTCGGTGTATCTTTGTGAGAGATAGAAAGAGGAAGGATATTTAACGATAATGATTTGCCTCGGTGCTGTACATACATAAATACTTATTCAAAAAAATTTCAAACAATTACACGCACACAGAAACGAACAGTGGAAGGAAGAGAGAATGTGTTGCAATAGCAACACCAACAACAAAAACTGAATTCCATTTTATGTTTCGAATACACATATTTTTTTTCTTTCTCGAATGCACATTAAAAACGGTTCATGGCAGCCCCCATAAAATGAATTTTTTTTATTTCAAAACGTAGACAAGACTTCGCTTTCACAACACACCGTTCCATGTTCTGTCTCTATATCTCTCTTTTGGACGTTTCTAGTGTGTGTTTGTTGTGCGAGAGAGAATTTTGACATTGGTTTTACATTTGAACCTCAGCCATTATAGTTCTTCCCTTCGACTGTACCATAAACAGTGTGCGATGGGCTTTTTTCACATCTCTTCTTTCTTTCGGGATGTGTTGCATTTGTACACACATGTTTTTGAGTATATTTGATTAACAGGGAATACCGTACAGTTTTCTAATATATTTTTCTTTCAATTGCGAAACATTTTCAAGCAAATGATAGATAAATCGAATGTAGATTAAATTCTCTATCACAAATATGCGCAAACATCAAATTGCACAAAAAAATACATGGAAAGAAAATTACAATTTGCAGAGTGAACAAATATTCAGATCTCTTTTTTTATCTTCTGCTTTCCGATAACACGCTGTATTTAAACTTGTAAGTTTTCAACCGAAAGCATTGAAACAAAACTCATTTCATTTTATGTTGCAGTTGAATGGAATGTGTATGGGTCTCAACCTGCTCATGAAATCTGAGCTTCAATCTATACATATTTTAACCATTAGAAATCTCTACCTGAATTGATTTGGTGAGAAGATGTTCATCACTTTTTAACTTTTGTTTATTTCATATATGCATATCCAGACAAGAGTAACATTTTCTATGTTTTTGTTTTGTCTGGACTGGTTAAAATTAAACTGGTTGTTTTATATTATTTAAAAGTTTTGGTATACTAGTATTCTGTGTGCATTGGAAACAGAACTCTGCGTCCATTGGTTGATTTATGAACTATTCACAACAATTACTTTGAAGAAAAGACACTCCACGGATGATCTGTACCCATGATAAGAGTCTGCGGTGAAAGGAGTGAACATTCTTCTAGCAATCGAGTGATTCAGGGTGGTATACAAAATTTCGATCGATTTTGGGTTAAAAAAATCTGAGCAACAAGTTTTAAATTAAAAAAAACTCCGTGTACCAATTTAACTATTCAAAAAATTTGAACAATAAATTTTCTCTAAATAATGTTGTCGAATTTTATGGTTTTGGTTTAATTGCTAATAAAAAATAAATAAATGAACTTACCATACAACCCCGAATGCACCATAACCAATCGGTCTATCTGGTACAACATCTTGTGACGCGGCTGGCTGATAATAAGGAGCAGCGGCTGCAAGTATGGCACCCTGTTGAGCAGCCGCACCACCTTGAACAATTGACATTGAAACGCTCATTGAAACTCTTGATTGGCGAGCTGGCCCACTAACGGCCGCCATTAGATTTTTCCCATACACTTATCACAAAATGTGGTAGAGTTTCAATTCGGCGTTGCGAATACACTGTTTTTTTTCCGCGCGTTTGTTGTTTATCTTTCACTTCCTTAACGTCTTGTTTTCTGATTAATTTCGTAAATTTGCTTAAAACTTGGCCAGCCAAACGAGAATCCGATTCTGAATCAGTGTTGTGGAATTACACGCAACTCTTGCCACACAAATGTTTTTTTCCAATAAATTTCTGCTGTCCGATTTGGATCTGTTTTGAAATTGACGACTTTATTTAATACAATTTTTATGGTTTTGACGCAAATATTTCACGAAGACTGACCATTAAATTTGTCTCAAAATATAAAATAATAAAGCTTACAGTTTGTGTGTATTTTGGCGTTACGATTTCCGTTTTTTTTTTTTCAATTTCTTAGTTACAACTTTCTTTTGTCTTTGCCTTTAACTTTGTGTCGACGATTTTGTTTTTTTCTTTGTGTGTTTGTTAATTAGATGGTTTTAGTTTTGTCAAATTGAAGTAACAGTCAGCCTTCTGCATTTATATATAATTTGTCTCGTTACTTTTACAACGTTGTGTATGATTATGATTATGATTTCATTATACACTTCACTTGTTTTTTAGTGATTTTTTAGTTTACAAACAACATTGGCATACGTTTGGTTTACCGTTCAATGCTTCATTCTCATAGAAATTGTTGCAGATACAAGTGCGTATACAGAGTGTATCGATGTGTAATGTGTAGAAATGCAACGTGACATTCAATTTAAAATAAAAAAAATGTTCACTTGGTCTTATGTTTCTCTTGAAATACCAAGAAACCCAAAATTGTTCGCCAAAAATGTATGCGTAGCGAAAATCAAGATTCCATTTGAAAAGAAGCAGCTATTTATATCCAGAAAGTACAGTTGATTTGATCCAACATGTAATTCAACTTTGTCAGCGCATAGTCATATATATTTACGTTTGGAACAAAGTTCTAAAAAGTTGGATTTTGCGATGGTGGCAACCGTTCTTGTTATTGCATTCGTTTGCAATAAAGAAATATTAAACGACGTGCAAATATAAACGAAATCAAATTAATCACAATCATATGTTTGTCGCTCGTTTCTTTGTGTTTTCGTTCGTTTTATCTGTCGTAGCGTTGCTTTTTGTCAATTTTTGACTCGAAATGCTGTATGTGTGCGTGTGTTCAACGAGTGACGTGATTTTTGCATCCAGTATTAACATATGCTTTGTAGCGGTGACAGTATGTGTGCATGTGCGAGCGTTCCACGTTGTTTAAAACGAGACTGTATTCTTACAATTTGACGATTTTATTACTAAAGTGTTGTTGCATTTTTCACAATAATACTTTATTTGTATGGATTCCCTTTGAATTCCTTACTCTCTCTCTATCTCGCTTTTTCTTTTATTTTCTGTTTGGTAGTTTCAATTTGCTTTCAGTCGCGCTTCAATATTTCTGAAAATATAGAGGAAATAAAACAATGAATAAACAATGCTGAAATAACATAATCAATATTTTTTAAAAAAATAAACAATTAATATTAATAATCGAACATTTATTATCTAAACGTTTTTATGAAGCTTTCTTTCTTTCACAATGTAACGAATTCTTAGAGGAGGCGAATAAAGGCGATATATACTGTATGACGCACAAAAAGCAGCAGAAGCGACATAAAATAGAAATAAGTTGGCATGGTCTTTAAAATACATATCTTTTAATTGGATTGTATTTAAAGAACTAAATGTTCCGCATAATTTCTATTAAAGTAATATGAAGTCATGCTAACAGTTTGTTGGTTTGTTGGGCGCAATATATAATTAATAGTGAATATTAATCCACTTTATGACTGGCAAACGTTTGGTTACTTTCATTTATCTATTTCTACTGGTTTTCCTCTTCGCTCTCTCTTTCTCTCTCTCTCTTTCGCTCTGTGTGCCTCTATTTTTCTGAATTTTTTAGTTCACGCTGTTTGATAACTTTTGATAAATATACACCACATTGCATACATACAATTTTTCTTTCTAAGTACACGATGAACGATCGACGCATTCACGCTCAAAACTAGTTTTTTTTTGTTGTAATACAAATAGAAACAAAGGCACGAAAGAGGTGTTAATAGATTCCTCGCTTTACAAAAGCGAAACTTCAATATTAGTAATAATAATAATGAAAATATCTACTGCACAAAAAAAATAGAAACTAAATTATTCGTAATTTTTTTTTTTTGTACATTCAACGAATCGAATATATTAAAACAAAGCGGTAGAGAGAATTTTTCGTATTTAATTTCCTATTCGAAACAGAAATCAATAAATTAATATGAAGAAAAAAGAAGAATTTGTGTGGTAATAATAATTTGTAGGGCTTATTTTGAAGACAATTCCAATGTGCCACAAAAAGAAGTTGAAAATGTTGAAATCGAGTCAAATTAGAAAACGCCGTTGGTAATATAATTTTGTTTGTAAAGCGACAAATGTACGAGATGAGCGCATATATTTTTTGGAATAGAGAGAGAGAGAGAGAGAGAGGGAAACCGGTAGCAAGAACGGGATCGACACAGATAGGGAGAGGGAGAACTAAAATGTGTGCTGTATTCGGTTCTCGTTCTTTTCAATATTCGACGGCAGTATTAATCAGTTTGAGTGAGAAAACACGGTCTTATTTGTCAATACCGATTTAATACGTCTATATATGTACCATGTTTCGTTTTACTATTTAAATGGTATGTGCTATTGCATAGGAACCGCTATTGTATGTTTTTCAATATGCTTGATGTACTTCTCTTTGTACATACAGCGTGCATGTGCTCTCTCTATCCTATTTTGTTGCACTTCGTTGTCCTGTACTCATTAAACTACGAGGGTAATTTTATACGAAAACGAGTTTTTTTTTCATTCCGTTTCAAATAGGGGGAGTGAATCTTCGCTCATGAAATACACGCGTACAACACTGAAACCCATGGATATATTCACATCAGATACTCAACACTCAAATGTAAAAAACAACAATGTATGTGCAGCGGCTGAGGTACCAGCCGCAAAAATATCCATAACGTAGTAACAGCATATTGGCAGCAGCAGCAGCAACAAATACCAACTGTATAATATATATATACACACACAGCTGAAAGGTCTTTGAACCATCCCAACCAAATAACTAAATAAATGTTTATCCATATCTATATCTATATCAAAAAATTGAAGCAAAGTTTTTAGATTTTCAGGTGGTTCAAGTAACGGAAACTGTTCTATATGTGATGCAATATGAATCATTCACATTTTATTCAAAAGCTGTTTTTCACAAAATAATACCGGAATAATACGCATATAATTATTGTTGAATGGAGAAAATTAAATCTCAACCTCGTCATTGGCAACCATTGCCAAAAACAAAATGAATAAGCAAAATGCATCCTTCTTCTTTTCCTTCTTCTTTTTTTTCAGTTAGTGTTAAGAATAAATCACAGCCTGATGATGCCGGAGCATGACTTCCAATTCACACATATGAAATATTTATTTATAAATGTGTATGCACTGGATGAAATGAATACAGCTGCAGAAATGAAGAAACAAACATTTAAAATAAAATCATGATGCGCCAAATGCATTTACAAACGAGAAAAAGAAAAACATTAACAATGCGAGATTCATCTTGTTGATATTATTATTTTTTAATGGCAAACAGATAGATAAATTAGTAAGTGCTTATTTTCGGCGGATCGTTGAATTGGATAAAGCGTTTTAAGGCCAACATATTAGCAATATTGGTGATGTGCAACAAAAATGTCTGCATTTTATGGAACGTCCATTGGTTCTGGCCATGGGTTTCCACCGGAGGGGGGGTGTAAATCGGGAAGTGTTAGTCTCGGTGAGTATTAAGATGACATTTTTTTTATTTCATTGCGTACAAAGCATGAATTTACATATGCATACGTGATCAAAAGGCGCACAGAGCGCATTTATTCTCTGATATTTTTTTTTTTTTTTTTCAATATTAAATTTGAATTAATGCTGAAAGTATAAAATGAAATGCACGACAACAAAGAATAAATAAAAACAATAACCGGAATTGAGTGTGTACACTTCAAGAATTCACAATCGTCGAAGCTGCAGTGGGCTTAATAGGATTTGCGTTGCTTGGATTTTAAATCAAAGTCAAAAATCAAATCAATTGATTTGTTGGGCTCGTCTAAATGTCCCGTGTAAAAGATTGAAAATTCACTGTAGGTTGAAAATAAAATGATGCATAACAAACATAACTTTAAAGTACTTTGAACCTTAAACAATATAAATGATGTAAACTGATTCATTGAATGTGATTGATTGCAGCTGTGCATGTATATATGTATACTAAGGTCCCACCGGTTTCCACTTGAATGGGCCACAGATTTTTTTTTTTGACCAGCGTTCAAGTATGCGTTTTTTTTTTTCAAATATGGAATAAGATACACTAAATTTATTTATTGTTAACAATTGAAATGGATTGATTGGAATGCGCCACATGTTTGCCAATTCATGCCTGAGAATCCACGGCCATACAACCGTTGGTGGAAAAAATTGATTAGCCTAATAAAAACATAGACGGTGCATAGTTGATATCGGATTGTATCACACCGTGCCACCAAATGACTAACTATGAGAGAAAGAGAGCTTCATGATTCGTCTCGTATACACACAATCTATCTATGGTGAGCTCTTTATCTTCTTTTCTCTTTCTTTCTTCAACTCATTTACTTTTATCTTTCTGGTCGCACTTTCGGTTGTATAAATTGCTAATAAGCATATACATATGTACATATTTTTATATATGTGTATAATGTATGTATGTTGTTTTGTGTTTTGATTGTATTGCACTTTTTTTTTAAGTTGAAATTTTGTTGTTCTACGGCGTTTTCCCGTCTCCTTTTGTTTTCAATGCACTGAAAGATTGGTGTGCCTCACTTTTGGTGTGTTTGCGTGTGTTTAAAAGATCTAAAAAAAAACCTCGGATACCATTCATACTGGGTTGGTGTTCTTTATGTTTTTTTTCTTCAATCGCATCATCAACACATTTATTTGCCGCGATGTGTTAATGACTTAGGAGAATGAACTTACTAAAATCGCGTCGACTACATTGTATATTTTGTTGACGTCTGTGGTGGTAATCATTTTTTTTTCTCTCGTCTTAGTATGGAATATGTACGGACAATCTAACGTTGTCTTGTTTTTATACGTATATATATATATATCATGGTATTGTGATTCTTTTTCCCTTCCTTTGTTTGGTTCGTTGGATTTTTTATTTGTCGTTTTGTGTGGTATTAGATTTTTTCCTTTTTGGATTGAAGAAGACGAAAAAAAAAACAATGTGCTGAACATAATATTAACAAGTATATCAATGAGCCGTTGCCGATGAACAGAACGTGACGTGAAAACTATCGTATATATCATAAACGCACAGCAAAAATCACAAGCGCAGTCAAATTTTGTTTCCGTTTACGTTCAGTGAGTGTGTGTGTGTGTGTTTGAATGTATGTATGTATGTGTGTCTGAGAGAGAGTTTGAGCGTTCGGTGTGTGCAAGAGAGAATGAGTGAGAGAGAAAGCAAGATAGAGCGAAACTTAGACAGCGTCAATATTGTCAATAAATTCGCCTGGAACAAGAGAAAACCATTTGTGATCTCAATTTGTGGGAGAATGACATGGAGAGAGAGAGAGAGAGAGAGAGAGAGAGAGAGAGAGGGAGAGGCAGGAAAGTCACAGAGTAACCGAAATGTACTAGATGGTTGCATTTTTGCTGTTATTATCCTTTTTCTTTGCCAAAAATCCACAGATGAGTTTCATTTAAATTTTGATTTTCATTTGGCGCACACATAATTTTACTAAATCTAACAATATGTAACATGCTTGTTTCGTCCATGGACGTACACAATTTGCAAGCCAACTTCCATTCAGCTACTTTACAAATGACATTTTTCTAAAAGTCTTTCTCTCTAGCAATGCGGTGTGTGCGTTTTTGTTGCTCTCTTTTGGCTATGAACAATGCGCAATACAATTGTCGTTTTGTTTCATTCACGTTTTCGTATTTTTTTTTTTTTTTTGGCATTTTTGTTTTATTTTTTTTTTGCTGTTGCTTTGCTTGATTTCTGCAAACACGAATACGATATCCCATGATGTTTAACTACACCGTACACTCAACACAATATGTCATTTACTTACTTCTATTTCGCCTTATTATTCAATCGAATCCGTCATTTCCCGAAAAACGTTTCTGCAATTACTTCTGGGTACGTTGTAATCTTTCCGAATATCAGCGATGGTGTTTTTTCAATTTGATGTCAAAAAAAGTACAATTCAATTGTGTTTAGTTTTCAATTTGGTAATCCATTTGCACAGACAAACGCGTTTTCTCCAAACAACGGTCTCCCCAATTTGATTGCACAGAAATAAAATGCACTTTTTTGTATTCTAATGGTTGCTGTTTTTTTTTCTTTTTCAAATAACTTTTCACTGTTTGTTTGAAATTGGAATAACAGAAAAAACAACAACTGTTTCGTTTTGTCTATGTTGCAATCGCGACCAATTTCGATTTTTTTTAACTATAATCTAATGTTGTGTTGATTTCATTTTCTCATGCTAATCTTCCTCAGTTATTATTCTTTTGGTTTACGTTAATATTTATTCGTTGTATTTGTTTACCATGTTCAGTAAAATGGTGTAGTGCAGAGAGATGGTGTTCCACAAAAAAATAATAATAAACCACACAAAAATAGATAAAGAGACAAATTCAGTTTGAAAAAAAAATTCCTTCAATTTTTTTTGTGAGGCTGAAACGCGACGCATGTACAACACAATTCGACGACACTCTGTTAAAGACTAAAGACTAAATCGGAGAATATTCTATGTGTTGTTGGCTCAGCGTTCATTGCGGCGGCTGTTGTACGATGTATATTGTATTTGGTTACGATGTTAATGCACTGAACGAATTGTTGTATTTGTTACGAACACGCTGTGTCTGTATTTGTGTTGGGCATGTGAACACGGTTTTGTCGGTGTATACTTCGGTCGCTTTGGTTGCGATGTGTGCATGTAAGCGTGCGCGTATGAATGTGTGCGTTTGGGCATCACTACAACAGTGAACAGTGAATGCTGAATAGTTTGTTAAAAGTCAAAACTCTCATTAAAGTATTTGCAGATGAACGGTTTTTTTTTTCTATGAAATTTTTTATTCAATATTTCTATAAATCGGTTGAAACAAAATTACAAAACAATTACATTTGACATTTTTATTGAAATTTGTTTTATTCATAATTTTTTTTTTAATATGAATTCTATTGGATTGATGTTATCACAGTAAATTTTCTTTATTTTTATCCATTTATTATATATGTCTCTAACAATTACTAGTATTTACTTTGAGTACATTGGATTCAAAATGTTAAAGGTTTTTTTTTCTCGGGTTTTAGTTCTCACAGCAGCACTATACATTTAAAGCAAATTTGATAATAATTTAAATTCCGGACAGAAGGAAGGGACATTTGATAGGTGATAAATTATTGAAATTAATACCAAAAAAAGATTCCATATCATGAATTTTGTCAAATAAAAAATTCAGGATTTTTTTTTTTTTCAAATTTAAAATAAGATTTCCTCTTGTAACCATTTTCACGTTCAGCTATGATTTGGAATTTACTGTTCGGTGTGCTGAGATATTACACAGTATTCGATTGCATTTTTTACAATACACGTCTTAACTATTTGTTTGCAAATCTTGGTTAAAATACCTTAACAACTTGTTTACATATGTATAGATAGATATATGTATATATAAATATTTCAAAAGCTTATCATATTTAAAAAAAAGAAAAAAAAAATTTCCTTGAAATTTATGTGTTCACTTGTACCTTTCGTGTGTGTTTTTGTAAATATCTTTGGAAGTTCAATTCAAAGTGTGTGTGGTGTGTGTGTATGAGTATATGTATAATAATTAACAATTAATAATTCATACATAATACTCCTTAAACTTTATTCAAGATAGTTCAAATCCGGTGTTACTTGAAATGGCGTACCTCAGCTTGTCGCGCAGAGTACTTTTCTTTTGATAATTTGGCAATTTTAGTAAATTAAAGCATGTTGAAGATGTAGGCAAACGATTCAATGGATCTTTCTTTCGAATTGTGAAAAATCCACGGATCACCGAACCGATTGTATCACCAGTGTCTTCATCGTCACCAACTTCGACACAACGAATCGAAAATGGCGGCTCCAAATGTGTAAAACCAAGCAATGGTGGCTTTGAACAGCTTGTAACAAACTGTTATATTCCGAAAAATGAATGGAAATTATAGAGAGATAAATAATCAGTTTCAATGTGAATTTCACATGTGTCAATATACCTTGAGAAATAATTTTCGTTCATCTTCGGTAAAGTCTCTAGCTAGAATATCCCAAAGCCAGCCAACAACTCGATGCGAATCATGGAATCCACCATAATATTGTGTATGCTTTCGCAAATCTTTTAGATCCAATGGTGCCGTGTCGCCCGATATCAGACGTTGCAACTGTAAATTCATTGTAAAACGTATTTTATTCCCGTCAATTATGGGTTTATTCAATGGCACATACCTCTGGAGTTGAAAACAATGATAACCAGTCCAAATTGACAATGGTCTTAAAGCCGTGGATAAATGCTATTGTTTGCTCTTTAATTTGGGTGTGCATTCGAAAAAACGCCATATAATGGATATAATTGATTCTAGAATAAAATGTGTCGATTCATCTAATAAATTCCATTTTTTACAATGCACAATTTTTATACTTATTATCATTTGTCACCGGTCGAGCTCTTCCACCAGAATATAGTTCATGTGTAACAATTCTCCCCATTTGATCTTCATCCACCGAAAAAGTGAGATCCAAATCAGACACATCACCCTGCACAATTATGAACAAAAAAATTTTTTTATCGGATTTATGATAGATAATCGGCTTTTTACAGATAGCAAAGGTAGGTTACCTGATAATGTTTAACAAAACTTAGACTGCGATATAGTTCTTGGTCTAAACTTGGTAGTTCATCTATACAACTGTATAGGGCTTGTTGTTGCAGTAATTGTGATAAGAAAAACATAGCAAACGGTACATCAACGACAATTCCTTCGTAAACGGCTTTGCCCAGCATGCGTCCAACGAAATCAAATAACTGTAAATGATTATCTTGCAAATGTGACGTTGGCGATGGATACAGTCGTTGATCACTTGTTGTTTTGAATAAATTTAGTGATGGATCAAATACTTTTTTAATGGTTTCTTCTAAAAATTCTTTAAAAACACCATCCTGATCGATACCAGCCTCATCAAGACCTTGCTGATTTATGAAACGAACACGAATCACACCTTTCAATGCAGCCGGTGGTAACATTGCCAATTGTCGATAACCATCCTCAACGATTCGATCACGATGTATTGTTATCAATGCCGAACTGGGTGATGCACATGCTGACTCCGTTAAACCGAGTACCGCTTTTTCATTGTGCACATATTTTCGAAATAATTTAACACGATCTTCGTGTGGTATAATGTGTGGCATTTTTGATAAAAGCACTTGTGTATGCTTTTTACCTAAATGAAGAAGAGTCACAAATGAAATTTATGGCAAAAATGTTAATGAACCATTGGCATACCTTTTTCCAAATCGGCAAGAAAATTCGATGGTCGAATATCATAAATAAGCCAATGATTTTTTGGCGCAAACTGACGACGACAATCACGCCGATACAAACATAATAATAATGAATGCATTGACACAAATAGCGGAGTTGAATTGATTACTTTTAAATCTGTAATGATGAAAATCGATTAACAATTACTGACGTAATAATAAAAAGAGACGTAAAATACCGAATATATTTTCCTGAATTGCTTTATACAAAAAGTTGTTCAGAAAACTTGATAAAGCGATATAATGAATCAGTTCGAACGGTGTTTGTTGCTCATACATTTCAATATCGTCTAAAATTCTAAAACGAAACAATAATAACATTTAAAAACCGAATCCAAAATATATTTATCAACCCGGCACACACTTACGTCACATAATGCGTCATTAAATCACAAAACAGTAATAACATCAAAAGTGGAGGTGGTAAAGTATTCGATGAGGCAGATAATAGTTCTAAAAATGGTTTTAAGCCACAATTCAGACCAAGCGATGCAATCAATATGAAAAGATCATGTAAAAGTGTGTTGTGGTAACAGAGGCCGGACAATATATCTAATTTTAGTTGTGTTAGTGTTTCCAATGCCTCATGGTACATGGTACAAACGATGGCCACTCTTGATATTTCATGTGATCCAAGTTTACGCCATGGTTTGCTAGCTTTATTTTGCGTTGATTTCGATTGTGTTCGTTCCAGTGCCCGTTTTAATAAATTTCCAGATCCTTGTTGCGGCAATGTGAATTCGATTTTTTCATAGCCTACTGATAACTCTTTTAAATTATCACCTAAAATAAAACAATTATTGTTTGTGTATATGTAGGAATAAGAATTTAATTTGAAAAACTCTTACCCAAAATAATTTTGACTGTTCGATATCCCTAGGACAATTAAAAAATAATAATTAATTGCGGACAATTAAAAAATGAGTTCAAGAAAGACTTACCCATAACAAATATAGTTGTTTTTTGATAAGTGACACATTTTCATTGTGTTCCGAACTAACTGGAGTCCATCCCAATAGTTCATGATATTCAAGTAGACCTTTTGAACCTGGTAGTGGATCACAAAAAAATGGAAATTAATCAATAAGTAATAGTGAAGTAATGGAATACTAATCTTTTACCTTGTTTAGGGTCCTTCGCTAAATCTGAAATAGTTTGCAACAGTTTCATACAGACAAGCTGAAATAAAAAAAAAAACATAATTTTCAATATTTAATCACCGCACATTCAATATTTTCTTTCTCCTCTTTACCGTAAACGTAGGAAACCCGAATTTTGTTGCTGTTTCAATGGGCTCCAAATGGAATAAATGGACAATATTTGCCAATAAAGCTAAACATTGTGTTGCTTTCATATCGCTTGTTACATATTTCATATTTTGTTCCTTTTCCAGTAAATCAAGGCTTCGCTTCAGAATTGATTCTGTTTGGAAAGTTTTCAATGAATTGGTTATATTTGCTTCAATTTGATAAATTAGGGCAGGCGTTGATAAGATGAATATCAAAAACTTCGCCATTAAATCTTCGGTAAAATTTCCGGTTGTTAATGGTCGAATTGACAATTCTAAAACGGCTTGAAATGAGAGCGGCTTCAATGTGATATTTTTTCGACAAGTTCCTTTTAAAAGTATTTTCTGTAGAAAAAAAATTGAAAATCAGTTTTGTTTCTTTTGCATATTTGATAAATATTCTCACCCGTAACGTTTGAAAGAATCCCTTTTCTACGAGTGTACCGAGCATATTGCTGCATTTTTGTTTCATTACTGGTATTTGTTCCATTAAACTATTTTCCTAGGAGTAATCATATAGAAAGGAATGGAAATTAATCAATAAGTAACATATGATGACAATAAAATATATATAATAAAAAAGCAAAACTTTTTACTTTCAATAGACCCCAATTTTTTGGCGTTGTGAATGAAATCAATGTACTTAAATATAACGCCAAAGTCAAACTCTCTGAGTGTGTATCTAAAAAAAGCAAAAAAGAATAAAATAAGTAAAATATTCGAGTGTTATCTTTGTTTCCATCGTTATTTACCGGGCCGTAGATTTTCCATTTGAACACAACATTTGTATAGCAATAATTCTATGTGCTGCGTCCATGCCTTGTCGAGATCGTTATTTAGAGCAATACCAATGTAGCTAAGATTTGAATTTTCCGAATCAAGTGATTTCGACAAATAGCGACAAACCTGTTGCAAGCGTTCACTATACGCGTCCGAATTTTCACGAGATATTTTCAAAAACCGATTAACTGCATAATACACGTCGACATTTGCTTTCAACACCATTTCGGGCATTTTTGTATTTGGTGGTAAAATATCGTCTAGCGCAGCCCTGTAATAATAAATGTGCATAAGGAATTTTATGACATTCAGATATTCATCCGAGACAAGACCACCATCACACTTACAGTGCTCTTTGTTCATAATTAATGCGTGCTAACCATACACGAATCCATGATTGTATTTTGATTATTGCACCGTCCCGTTTCTTTTTCGTTTCTCGTTCTTCGCGTGCAGCCTTTGTCTTATCCAAAAAGTCATTTTTCTGCGATTCACTTGTATTGAACATGTTTAATATATCTCTATCGAATTATATAAATATTGTTGTTGGGTTAAAATCAAACAGCTATAAAATTTGTTAGTTGCAAGTTCGCGTCCAACTACGTTCGCTGTCGTTCTCTTTCCTTTTATTGATTCACGGATAACAAGACGAAACCAACATTTCAAAAGGTCAACAAATATTATTATTATTAATCACATACAATTCATATGTTTGCTTTACACTATCGAATCAGTAAATATGAGATTTGCACCTTGTATTTCTCTAATATAGCTGAATATTTTTATCGGTTTTTGCGACCCAACACAAATTCGTTTAGACATATATACAGTTCAATTGAATGCTTTGTTGATGGCGCTCAATCTCTTTTTTATTTTCGTTCAAAAATTTTTCATCTAATTTTTTTTTGTTCGTATTATACTATTTTTCATACTGTATACCAATTTGTATGAGAGCATCTCCATTTGAATTGACAGCTGAAAATTTTGTTTTGTTTTTTTCTTCTTCTCTCTTTTGTTAAAAATGTGTGAAGTTGACTGCTTATACATATACACACAGTGTGGTGAAGTTGAATTTATTAATACTCGATCAATGACTTTTTTTCTCTTGGTTTTGGTTTAATTGACATCAGTATAGTTGATATGCTCCGTTTTTTTTTTTTTTTTCAATTGAAAAGTTATGAATTCAATTGGCATGCTCAACTTAGGGTGAGTTTCATTTAAAATAACTCTTTTTCAGTTCAGCTGGTTCGATTGTGTGTTTTGTATATGATTTGGTCGCTCTTTTCTGTCACGAACGCCATCTAGCGAATTTAAACAGTAAAATGTTTTAAAGTTTTAACTTGAATCAATTCATTCTTAAAATTTGAAAGTTTCAATTTATTTATGAACAACCTATAGAAACAATTAGATGATGGTTATGTTTTAATGCATTTTTTCAGAATTGCTTTTAATAATAAAAAAACACTTCAAAAATCTTCAATAAGCAAGGATTTGAAAAATACTTTGTTTTCACACAGGTCAGTAATTGCACTTGAATTCATTCAAGTACACCATGAGAATAATTATTATCTCACAATCAGCGCATTTTTCAATTGAGATCCTTTTTCAAATTAATTAGCTGTATACAATCGCTTCCTTTTTTTTTCAAATCATGGGAAATCGGTGTTGAGAACTTCATTCCGTTTTCTATTTTGACAAATAGGTTTGTTTTCAAGTTCTCAATATTTGTTTATCGAACATACTATCTCGAGTTAAAAAGAGAATGGACCCAGTATCAATGATTTTAATATGGAACGCGTAAGTAATAGAAATGAGCTGAAACACACACAAGACCCAAAAAACTGGTAGTTAAAGAAGACCACCAAAAGGAAAAGTGAGCATTTTGCGTGTAGTGTTTTCTCCTTATCATCGTTCTTGTTGGTTTTTCTGTTGTTCTCCTTCGAAAACGCAATCGACGTGTAGATAAATGTTGAAAGCGGAACATTCAAAAATGTTCAAAGACGTTCAGTTAGAGCGCACACACAAAAAAAAAACGAGAAGCATTAAAAAGGAGATAGTGATAAGAAAATATATCGGTAAGCGGTACCATCACAAGAGATTTTCGACGTTTTAAATGGATTTATTCCTTAGCCGTACGTGGATTGCACTTTTTCGGGGGCTTTATTATGCCATCGAGTAAGTTAACTGCGTTTGGATTGTACGACTTCGTTTACTGTTGATCCTGGCTACCGGCGCTTCTTCGCTCTAAAAGTCGTCAATTGATAATGATGCCACCCAACTATATCGTCGCTTGTTATCAACATTTTGTAGCCCTTTCTTTTTTACGTTTATTCATATTATAACAGTTTTGATATTCTGATTTCTGCTTGAATCCTCATCACTTCAGTTTAATATCGACTTTCATTTTCTCAATATCTATCGATTTTTTTTCGTCTTTGTTGTGCTCCCTTTGAACAACACGCCACATCGTGAACGAAAATAAGTTTTCCCTTGCAGGTTAATGAATCCAAAATTATATGGATACCGTTATTGACAGCGTGAACTACAAAAACAAAGCCGGACAATAGGTGTAAAATGGTAATGACTTTTTAAGCACCAACGCAAACATTATCCAACATTCGAAAAAAAATTGACACAAAATTACACAAGCTCATATCTTTTCATATGAATGTCGTCATATCATCAAATAAAGCCTCGCTTCTTATTATCTTTTCAATGAATGGAAACAGGAGATGAGTTGCGTAATCACCTTTTTATTCTCACCAATTTGAAAATGAAGAGGTCTTTTGATTGGAATAGATTTCTTATCTTCTCTATTCTCAAATGACGTAGAAATGCGACAAATAGAACATTTATGATCCAAAAAAGCCGTTTGTATTTATCCCCCAATGTAATTTCGAATTTAATCAGGTGAAATTTGACTGATGCATGGATTCTATATAAAAAAATTTGGCGAGTATGACCAATAGATTTTTTGTTCAAATTTCTTCACGGAACCAAGATTTCAAACTTTTTGGCCAATATACCGGCATTGGAATATATTGCAACACGTTTTGCCGGTTTGTGTATCGATTTCATTTATTTGATTAAAAAAAATCAAGTTCTCAAGCCCAAAGGCTTCACCTGTCCGGTTAAAGGTTAAATGCTGTTGAAATGTATGTCAAAGTCAGTTCAAATTGGTGTTTATTGACGGCCTGTGGCTATCGAACATATGTTTCATTTCACTAAGACTTTTTTTTTGCTTAAATTGATGGCCCTTTCCGTAAGTGGTTTTAATTAACTTAAATTTTGTTCAACCTTAAGAATATGTTTTTCTCTTCCATGCTCCAAATGAAAAACAATTGTTATCAATTTCAGTCCAGAATAAGAAGAATAAGTTAAAAAACTAAAGATCCCTCTAGTAATTGTTTTGTTTGGATTAAATTCTTTCTATAATAACCGCCAAACAATGAGTTTTATTTCAAACATATTTTCCCCGGTTACAATTTCCCCCATACAAATCTAATGGAGAATTTATGCCCGAAATATTGAAGAAACTAATTCCTTTTAAAATTTGGTCATATTTTCCCCAAGAAAAATATTTTATTTTCGGGAAATTGTGGCCAAAAACCCAGGGAGACTATTTCCAATTCGATTTGGACGTAAGTTCCCGGGGAAAATATTACCAAACTGATGGAGAATTTTCATCCAAAACTAAATGGATACAATTTCCCCATACATTTTTTCAAAAAATGGAAGAAATTGTGGCTAAAATTCGAAAAAAAATCCCAATTAAAGTGAAGAAGCTAAAGAAATAATTTAAAATTCATTTTGTTTTCAATAGAAGTCAACTTAATGCTTTTAGCTATTGAGAGATATTTAGTGATGTTAAAATAAAGTAGCAAAGAACTTATTTGTTTTTCATGAATTGATAATTTGTTAATCTATAACATTAAATATTTAGTAGTATATTAGAGATTTAAAACTAACCGCATCAATCAATATTTACTCAAAAAAATGAGCAATATACAAAAATTAAAATAAAATAATCGGTCGAAGTGATTGAAATTAAAACGGAGTTTAACAAGAATGAATATGCAATGAAAAAAAATATGCCACAAATAATATATGTGTGCAAAGTGAGTCAGAATGAATGCGAAATGCAAGTGCATAATCGAAAACAAAGCCAAGTAAAAACAAAAAAGCATAAACTTAAAAGTAAATACGATCACGAAATGGTACCAAAACTCATGTTAAACAACATATTTTTATTTTATCTTTTATTCACAGTCTGCTGTTGTGATAAGGATCGGAATGTAAAGTCCATATTTCAAAAATAAACGAAGAGAAAAACCTACTACTGCTACAACAACAACAGCAACAACAATGGAATCGAAAACCAATACCATTAACATTAACTCAACCACCGATAAACGGAACCGAAAACGAGAATGAAAACAGAGGTAAAACAGCAATAATTTTTTATGTGCGGATGGTAACTGGCGCCTTCACTTGAACGCCATTCACAGTATTATAACGAGTCAAACCGAATGTAATACACATAAAATACACGACTATTTGGATTTATATTCGTCTTCTTTGTATTTGGTGATAGTACGAGCTTTCTTCGTGTTTTCTTGCTGGTGTTCTGTTCCCTTTTTTCCCAAAAAAAGGAGCACCAATTCTACGAGTATTATATGTCGAATATACATATTAAGTAACATTCGAAACGATCGCAACAGATGAATTATTTTTCGGATTGATTTGATCCTTTGCCACGACTGACAAAAAATTAGGACCCTTTTTACGGATAATGCGTATTAAAAAAAATGTTACATCGTCAAACGTTGCATTTGATTGAAGCAATTTTGAAAGGAAAAAGTAGTCCATCGAATGGGTATTACATAAATCAAATAGAGAAAAGGGCCACTTTGAAAATCGTAGATTTGTTGTTATAATTTCTCCTAATAACAGGTTAGCGATATGTTGTTAAAAATCCTTTGCGTAGTGAAATTTATAATTTATGGATTTGATTGAGATTACCTCCACATGTTAGTGTCATCACTTTGGTCTCATCAAATATGAACCTGATTCAATGGCGACAACGAAGAGAACGAAAAACAATCGAAAAATTTCTCATAACATTATCAATATAAATTTCTGGGAGTCAAACGTACCAAGAAACTCATGCATAGAGGAACTAATAAAGCTTTTATTTATTATCAATGGAATGACTATAATTTGAAGCCCACACAAAGTAAACAACAACCAGTGTTTAAAACCATGGGTAATCGTTCTATCTCTTAACTGACCCATCCATTTGAAACAGAAGAAAAAACAACCAACGAAAGGAAAAAAAGAGAAAGAAACAGACGACATGCAAAAGAAATGCTCGCCATGAAATCAGTACACCATAAATAAACAAAAGCAATCTTTTTGTTGTTGTTGTTGTTCTTGTTCAACTATCGTCTATATTCGGCTATCTTTTTGGGTAACGTTTTTTGGCGGACAACTTACTTAATTAGTCGCCATACTACCTCAATTTTTTTTTATGAAATAGGTAAATGCGGAAATCTAAAAACCGAAATTATCAAAAAAATGCTTAATGTTTGGCCGTCCATTCTTTTTATCATAATATACCCAAGGTCATAAATTCATTGTTGCATTTTTGGCTAGCATTTTAGCATTCATTCAAAAGACTAGCCAAACATTAGGCCATTACTTTATCAAGTATTCCAATGTTTGTACGTTTTCTTTTTATGAAATATTTTCTGACTCACTTAAACGATTTATTATCATTTTCAACCCGAATACACACGGGGGCTAATTGATCTTAGAACAAAATTGATAATTAAATTTATTCAACACTTTTACTCAATTTTAACTCGGAGAGATTGAATAGATCGAATTTTCGAAAAGTTGAACTAATTAGAGGAGAACTCATGCAGGAGTGTTTTACATCGGATTATGCCCACAATCAATCAGAAAACAAAGAAATTTTAATATTCTAACAGATTACTCTCTTTTAAGATCTTTATTAAGACATTTTTTGTTGGGTAAGAGATGTTAACGATGTTGAATTTTACGCACGCAAATAAGAACGTATTGTTGAATCGGTGTCTGCTGCTACGAAGTCGAGGAGGGTGGTGGCTAATTCGGTTGGTGTTTCATTGTTTCAATCACAATGATGAATGTAATATGATTTCTAATGGACAACATTTAGTCTGTGCAAACTTTGAGTAAGTCGGTGAAATAAATAATATTAAATAATTATAAACGTGTCAGTCTGTAGGTGACCAAAAAATCCAAAATACCTAGAATTTTGGTGTTTTTTTAATGTAAAAACTAATTATTAAAGTGGATATATACTTCATTCAATTAGTATTTATCAAAATTTATTTTTTTCAATCAAAAATATATGGATCTAAAAGTTGCTTCCATTGATATGATTGAAAAGTATACGTTCGAATTGAATCGGAAAGACATATAATATTATATTGAGATATTTGCAGCCAGATGAATCAGCTCAGCCCGATATCGTCATGCGCTGAAATCGAGTGAAAACAATAAAAGTTTAATAAAAAGATTGTTATAGTGATTGTAATAATAACCATAACTTTGTTTTCACTCAATTTCAGCGCCTGACGATATCTGGCTGAGCTGATTCATCTGGCTGAAAATATCCCAATATAATGCCTGGAATGGGATTCAAATTAATGATTTCTAGTTTGAGGTTTTATCAGACCGAAAACATGAAAAACTGTCAATGTTTATTAAACGGTACATTTCACGAAGTCACTTAATATGAGACAATTGGATTAATTAATTTTATCACTTCATTTAAGAAGTGAAACTTCTGAAAAGCAATTTTCGTGGAAAAAAAACACCTGCATCATTCAGAATAATTTCAAGTAAATAAAAGAGGTATTAAAGGAACTTCGGTTCGGCACTTGAAAAATTATAATGCATGCACTTCTCAGGTGGCAGTAACAGCTCTGAACTGCGACCAATTTAGTTTGTACATGATTACCATTTTGGGATCTTAGTACCGAATAATTTTAATACAGTAGCAGTTTCTGCCATCAATGAAAAAATAAACTATTAATGAGGTTATTTCCAAGTATATCACTGTTAATTTTGATGTAGCAAAACTGCCATATATTGAATTATTTAGCAATGAATCGCATTGATTTCAATTGACGTGTATTGAAATAACTTAGATTATTTTGTACACTAGATGCATTATGTTGTAATTGTACTTTATCTATAAAGAAAGTGCATATTGGATTAATTTGTGCTTGATTGTTCAGATTGTTTAAATTTCTTTCACTGAAGTTTAAAATGTATATTTCTGCGTCTTTGTAACAGGTTAAATGTGTAATGTGTACATACATCTTTATATAAAAATTAATTCAATTCGAACCACGCTACATGTGTGGTCAGTGTTCACAGATAAAATGCATTATCAATATGTGTTATTTGGGAGAAATCAAAAATCATAGTTTTTTTTTAAATTAGTATACATAGCGTATTTCATTGAAATAATTGCATTATATCGAAAGCACTCTCTCCCACCAAAATATATGTCATTCCGCAAAGTACGGCAATTGAAATCTATTTAATCCAGGAAATGATATCAAATTTAATTAAAAATAAATGTGAGCAAATCAATGTGAGTTAAACTCGCTAAGTGTTTCGATATAAAAATCTCCTGTGGCAGCAAACGCCATTGTATTTTTGTTCACTTGTACAAACGAAATTTTAAAGCATAGAGGGCGGAGCTAAAACATTTAGTTTTCTTTTGAGTTGTTTTATTTGGCACACCAACACATATGGTGGTCCAATCACACCCGTCTCACACAATACGCTCGTCTCGACAAAGCATACACACAAAAGCCTTTTGAAAATGTGTGCACCACACTCAAGTGTTGATTCTCGAATAAAGCTGCAAAGAAAATTTTCGGTTTCTCGCCTGTATGTGTGCATGTTTGCTTTTGTATAAGCAAACAGACAGAGAAAAATAAAATAAGAAAATCGAGTGCACAAAAAATGTGTTTTGCACATTTTGTGTTGAAATAAGCAATAGTGTTTATTTCATAGGCGACAAACGATGGCGCTATAGTTATACTTAAAGCAGACGTTATGCACTTGAAAATAGACCCTGTAGACTATCCTCTTTCACACACATACATTCGCACCGATCGATTGATCGTTGCTTTGCTTTCGCCTTCATATTCGTCGTTCGAACGCATTTTCCACGATCTTTCGTTTGAATGAATTGAACTAGAACCTACACCAACCACAGCAGATCAGTTTACGATTTTACGTTATACGATCAACACGCATTCGATTTCACTGTCTCGCATTTTATTTTGATTTTGTTTGAATTGTCGAAACGAATTTTCTTACTTAACTTGTTGCTTCGGCTATGTGTTCAGTGAATTACAAACTTGAAGTGTTTTCCTATATATATTTTTCTGGTGAAAATTGACATTTGAACTTTGAAAAAAAAAATATATATATATTTATTCAAATAAATAAACAAGTTATTACGAAACATTTATCACTGCTCTTTTGCAATTATTTTTGATATCAATCAAGTGTTCAATATACATTTATATTAATTTGTGATAATACAACACAATAAGCAAATACGCCATGAATGACTTAGTGGATTTACGATTACATCATCACATCGCTCAAGAAATCTATCGCCAACAAATGATGCAGCGCTTACCTGGTACGTTGAGATTTTATCGATCCACTCTATAATTTTAACCATAATTAACACCAATCCCACACATATGCACAACGCCGACGGCAACACAGCCCCATTCCATTAAAACACATTTTCAATTTGATTTAATTACAATTGCTCAATAGGCATTGAAAAGAATTAATGAAATAAATTTACAAAAAAACAAACACTAATTTCTTCCCATTTGTGTTGCTCAGATCCATACCCAAATATGTTGACAATGTCACGACACATTCAGTTACCACCGCGATATGGTTTGCCAGACGTGAATGCAACACTGCAAAACGCTGAATTATGGCAACAATTTCATGAAATTGGCACGGAAATGATCATCACAAAAAATGGACGGTAAGTTATTTGTTCAATTATCGCATTTTTTTAAAAAATATATATAAAACTGAAAACAAAAAGCACAATCGACGTCACATTTGAAGAGATCCAATATGTATTGAACTTGAGATGAGCATTGTTCACTCGAATTTGTACATTCGATATCGAATAAACCGAAACGGAGAAGAAGTGTTAAATGCTCACAAACAAGTTCAAATTTTAAACATAGTCAAACCGCACACAAACATAATTTCAAACATGAAAATTGTATTAATTATCTGTGTATGGCGCCGAGCAATTAAAATTTCGGCGCATGCATCATCGTTTTACTTTTCCACACACCCACGGTGTGCAGTATTGTAATCACCAAAAAAAAAAATATTTTTCTACGCGTTTTGGAACTGGAAAAAATCACAGTTTTCTTTTGTCATTTTAATGTGAGTGTGGTACAATGTACACAGTATGCAAAAAATCAATAGCTAATTTGTTAGCAGGATAAATCTTCTTCGAGAAAAGTAAATCCAAATCTTATTTTACATGTGTTCAATTTTGAATGGGCAATACCTTCAATTTGTAATGAAATTACTTCAAACATAAAGAATTTTATTTTCTTCTGTTTGAATTATTTATCGGTCAATAAAGTTCAATAATTGGCCAAAAAATATTACTGCTCTCCGAAGTTGGAATTTGGTAGTTATTGAATTGGTGCCGCACTATCAGTGCATAAATAAATATTCGTTCGGTAAAGAAATGTGGGAACAGTGCGAAAAAGTTGGACTTACGAATGTAAGTTCCTTTTTATGTTTATTTGAGTTATGGTGTGAAAAAAGACAAAAAAAGAAGAAGAAAAACCAAAGTCAACAGTCAATCCAAACTTATAAAGTTTTTTTTCTGTAATTGACACAGCGTTTAGTTGATTTAAACACAATTGGTGAGAATTAAAACACAAAAACCTCCCAAAATGTGATATTTTCTACACCAATCATACACTCAATATTTACTTGTCGCAACGAAATAGCACAGTCTTCACAATATCTCTCATGCATTCGAACCGGAAAAAAATTCAGATAAAAGGCCGTTCTTTTGAGACTTCGAGCTCAAAGAACCTGCTATGTTTGTTAATGAAAACAATTCTCTTGTATTTAACACATATGAAATTGGGTACGGTGTACTAAACAAATATTTAAATAATAAAACAACGGAAAGATGAATTTGACGACGAACAACAGCATAGATCAGATAGACTGCACAATAATCAATAATATATACATATGAGGAGAATATGGTTCAATTGTTGAATGTTGTGTGTATTCATTTGATATGGGAAAAGATTTATTTTCCTTTAGTTGGCCACAAGGTTAAAAGAAACAACTGAACTTCAGGCGGATGGCCTCTTGAAACCGCCAAAACACACTTCAGTAGTATTTGGATGAAAACATCTTAAGTTTCCCAGTTTTCAACCATTGATTTAAATGACATATCAAAATATTTCTCGTCCAAAAATAAGTTAAATAATAAATGCCCTCTTCGTGTGTCATCAAGTGGTTTTTATCCATTGTAGTTTGTTTACTCTTGCAAACCAATACAGAAGTTATAATTCGATGAGAAAATTGAGTTGTTTGAAGCAAAGCATAGCTGCCAATTTAATTGGAGTTATAGAAAATGTAAAAATGACAAACAAAAATAGATACGAAAGCACACAAGGCAGAGGGATAAAAAACACACACACACCACAATACTTTGTAAAATTGGAAAAATTATCCGAAAAATGACCATATGAAATGGAATTTTTGCTGCTGATGGTTTGTTAACTAGACTGTGTTGAGTGCTTGACAGATCAATCAAAGTGCAGACGATGTAGACGAAGGTAACAATTTTCACGTCAATATTTTTTTTTTAACTTTTGCTCCGTGTTTGTGTATAATTTTCATGTTATTCGTCTCTCTGCTATATTAATCTTTTCGTTTCCATTTCACTGGTTCTGCCATGGAGTTCACCGATCGATTGGATTCTAATGGCAAACGATCGATTTTAAAATTGGTATTTTTCTTTCGGTACTGCGGTTGAATCGTACGCACATTTATCCAACCCATTGATTTGTTTCGTTGACTCTTTTTTTTCTCTCTATAATTCTTGCACTTGTAAGGAAAATCCCATTTGGGCAAAGGTTATCCTTCTATTTGCTCAAATACTTAACGTTTCATATAATTTTGGGTTTGAACGATGAATTTAACATCCTTCGATATAATTTATCATTTGATAGACGAGGCAATTTTCGACGATTAGTTTCAGTTTAAGCAATTTCAAACAGCACTTGAAATTGAACGGGAAAATATGATTTGTATGCGAACAGCCAGAGAAAAAAAAAAAACAAACACGCAACATTTATGGGCGCCATAAATATTTATAAAAATAATAAACATTTTTCGATTTTGGTTATTTGTTCACCTTTCTCTTTAAGCACCCACCACAAGCACATGTCAATTTCACTTTGAATGTTTGATTTGATGCTCATTTGAAATTGACAGTTTCAAATGTCATACTCTCCGAAATTGTGCACGCAATTTTTGGCGGCAGGGCAATGCAAACGGAACATTTGCATTGATCAAAAAGAATGTTCGGTTTGATTGTGCGACAAGAATGTGTTTTTGCCCTACTGCCGTGAATTTGTGTTCAACTGATAAAATGCTCGAATTAAGTGCTTTCTTAAAACACGCTTTATCAGAGCGGTCAGATTTGGAGAGAAACTTGTATCGCAAACTTCGTTTATATGGCGCCTACGTCGGTAAAAAACAAAAGAGCGTCAAAAATGAAAGAGCATGGTATGTAAAGCAAACAAAGAAAGAAAAATGTGCGTTTTTCACGATTCCAGAACACTGAGAGACATGAGAAACAACAACAACAACAACAAAAACAAAGTCCAGTAGTTAAATCCAAATGTGTGTACAATCGTATAAAAATCGGTGTTTTTCTCTGCTTACTTTACTGCGTGTACCTTCCGTTGTAAGGGACAAAGTAATCGCTTGTGTGACGTCTCAAATATAAAGTTCTCAATTTGTGTAATTCATGACGCCAGAAAGTCACACCTTTCCATTGTCATCAACATTACCGCACATTGTTCACAGAGCGAAATTTATGTATTTTTTGTTTTTTTTTTAGTGTCCTCTATTTTGCCTGTTTTTTCTTTGTTGTCCTTCTCATGCATGTCCCGTTCCGTTTACTACGCGTTCACATACACGCTCTTTTTACCTTTGTAACCTTTCGTCAGCCTCTTTTAGGTCGATATCAATATCTTACTTTTTCTCTGAGATTGCATCACCGTTATTGCCACCGTACTTCACCATAAATCGATCGTAGCAACAAAGTTGAAAAAAAAACGTCGATGTGAAACGGTCATTCCTTTTGCCAGAATATCCAAAGCGATTAAATGAAAATGCTTAAACATAAATTAATGAAATACTAAATGTGACCATCGGCATTCTTTTTTCTTCGTTTCTCTTAATAAAGACAATGTACTCAATATATTGCCCTTCTTCATTTTTCTTATCATCGGCAATATATTTATGTCATGTACTTTCATGTTTTATCACATTAATTTGCTGAAAAAAAGAAACGAAATTTCACTAATAAACATTATTTGATCACCAGCATCGCGAACCAAACTGTATTCGATTGTTCTGATTGATCAAAGTGCAGGCGCGTGATGATGTAAGATCAAATCAAAACATTTTCAGAATTGGTTTTTCAGAAGTGTTGAATCCCTGGGCATAAAGAATGCACTGACCGCGAGCTAGTTAAGACGGTTGTTGCGTCAGTCTGTCGCTTGTCGATCTCGGCTCGGGTCAAACCATGGAAAGATCGTTTAACATTCGATGTCTTGTGGTTCAAAATACTTGTTAGACAAACATTGGAAAGAAACCAACATAGAAAAAATAGAAGAAGAAAAAAAGTATCTTTCCCAAATATTATGTCGTCTTCAATATGAAATTGGTCTGACAGTACATATATCTTTCTCTGAGCATTTTGTTTTTTTTTTTTTTGGTCTGAGCTAAAAAATCAAACGGCAAAAAAGAATGAGCAGTCAAATATATTAAAAAGTGTATGCCATCGAACGAAACAACATCGAAAAGAGTGCAAGAAGAAAACCCAAACCAAGAGGAGAAAAAAAACACACACAAATCGACGACAACGGTGCAGACGTCGACGATGACGACGAAGACCAGCATAAGAACAAAAATGAAATATATATTAAAAATTGGTTGGTAATTTGGCGCCACTGCACTGACTCCATGCATACCGCATGCTGTTCTAAAACAATGCATCGTTTAGATGCCCGCAGAGACAAGACAAGCCAACTTATATTTGTATACTTTCCATTTTTTTCTCTCTCCCTCTATTTCTTTCTCTTTCCATCTCATGCGTGTGTATATTTTCATCCATATACCGTTGTTGTTACTTTTTATTTATTCTGTAAATTTTTAAACGAAAGAAAAAGTCTGCGTTTTATTTGGAAAAGTGTGTGGCTGTTGCTCGGAAGAGTTTCGTTAATAATCAGAGAGTCCATTTCATGCTTCAAATACGATTGTAATATGCGTGCATTTTATTTGTTCATGATTTTTTTTTTTTTACAAATGCCTTAATTTAGAACGAAAATCCAAGAGAAAATGAGAAAGTGAAATAATTCATGTAAAATTTTTGTCATTTGGTTTCATGTGATTTGATTGAGTGACACTGTTTCCACCAGTGTTTGACGCGTCTCTCGATCTATTTCTCTGAAATATCTATCTATATCTACATCAGCTTCTGTTCTCACGTCAGAACAACGAACCACTCACATTTTTTTCCTTCTTCTTCTTCTTCTTCTTCGTCTTCTTAAAGGTCTCCTTCATATTTTCGATTCGTCGAAATAAATCAACCGAAATTTACGCATACGCATCGTTTTATTGAATATGAATTGGTGCCAACGAAATGATTTGTTAAAATTGGAATGTGTTGATCGTCTCTCGTTAGAAAGAATG